TAATTATCCTGAGGGAGATACTTTGAGACTATGTAAATATCCTGGTTTCCTCAACCTTTCACCAACTAGCACCATAGGTGGATTTTGTCTGCAACAACTACTATGGTGCTGTTTGCCTAATGGTGGTTTCCTATTTCCTTCTTTTCCTCCATGTTCATGAATTGGAATTCTTCTGGAGTTGTCCCTTCTCTTCTACTTATTCAGCGGTATCATAATAGACTCATGTTTTATTTTATGGGTTAAAGTCCAACACTATCACTACTCATTTTATTGCTCAAATTGTTCCAACTTGGCCATTAGAAGCTCCTCAAGTTGGCTCCTGTGTTGTTTCAAGAAGGTCCCAAGCTTTTTTGAGCACTTAATTTCAAGCATCACAAGAAGTTCTAGGCTTATCTTGTATTTTTTTCCTGCCCCAGCCCTAAAGTCAATTGCTTCTCTAAAAAGTGCCAGTTCCTTCAAAAACTAAGATCTTATGCCTGATGCTAATGAGGTAAAAGTGTCAAGTCTACAATGTGGGCAACAGTCACTAATATTTTTCTTACTATATTAAACTCATTAGAATCACCTGGGAACCGGTTAAAAATGCAAATTCTTGAGTCCCAACCGAGACCCACTACACCAAAATCTCTCAGGATTTTAAAGAAATTTGTGTTTAAACAGGTTTGCCATATGACTCTAGGGTTCACAGTAAAGTTTAAGGAACACTGCTTTAAAGAAAAGTTAATTTTCCTTCATTATAAACCCTATGTTTAGTTCTAATTTTAACAAAAGGAAAGTTCAGACCTAATGAATTTGCCTTGTGTATAAATCATAATTTTACTACCACAGTAAAACTATAGGTGAATGATCTAATCTGTTAAGAAACTAAACGCAGCCGGGCTCAGTGGCTCAGCCTGTAATCCTACGCCTTTGGGAGGCTGAGGTGAGTGGATTGCCTCAGCTCGTGGATTCGAGACCCGCCTGGGCAGCAAGACCTCATCTCTACAATAAATCAAAAAATCAGCCAGGCGTGGTAGCGCATGCCTGTAATTCTGGCTACATGTAAGGCTGAGGCGGAAGGATCGCTGGAGCCCAGCAAGTCGAGGCTGCGGTGGCAGGGAGCGGCCACTGCACTCCAGTCTGGGTGACAGAGTGAGACTCCAACTCAAAAAAAAAAAAAAAAAGAAACTAAACGCTTTGCTATTCTTCATTTTTCTACAGAATTTGTTAAAAATCAGGTGGATAGAGTAGTTATAAAGAAAAAAAGTAGTTGTAAAGAACCTCGGCCGGGCTTGGTGGCTCAGCCTGTAATCCCAGCGCTTTGGGAGGCCGAGGTGAGTGGACTGCCTGAGCCCGCGGGTTCGAGACCTGCCTGGGCAACTTGGCAAGACCTCATCTCTACAATAAATCAAAAATTAGCCAAATGTGGTAGCGCACGCCCGTGGTTCCGGCTACTTGAAAGGCTGAGGCGGAAGGATCGCCAGAGCCCAGCAGGTTGAGGCTGCAAGTGGCGGGGAGCGGTCACTGCACTCCAGTCTGGGTGACAGAGTGAGACTCCAACTCAAAAAAAAAAAGAACCTTTATACAGTTCTTTAAAAATACTGTAAATAGTGTTACAAAAAAGTCAGCCTCCAAGATCAATTTTTGCTACATATGACCTAACATTCATATAGTGAATCTATCAATATAGAACCCAAAACAGCACTAGGCTCTAAAATTAGAATGCCTAGGCCTAAATGACTACACCAGCTTCTGACATCGTAAACTCTTCGCCTTTTGTTTTCTCAATCACAAAATGGAGTAACACTACTTCAATGAAAGAGGCAGTATGAAGATTAAATGAGATAATGTGTAACACAACTATGAAGGCACAAAAGAAATCCTTAAAAACTGTTAATTATTGTCATTATTTGAACTATTAAATAAAAGTAGAGTTTTTATTGTTTTGGAATAGAGAAAGCAAGCAGAAACTGCACTAAAGGAGAGTTCTGCTACTTCTTCACCAGTATATCAGAATAAAAGCAGAACCAAACAGCAAAATTTACATAATTTTTTAAATACCTTCAGAAGAGGCCAGGCAGAGTGGCTCATGCCTATAATCCCAGCACTCTGGGAGGCCAAGGTGAGAACAGTGCGTAAGCCCAGTAGTTCAAGACCAGCCTGAGCAACTTGGTGAGACCTCATCTCTAAAATAAATCAAAAAATTAGCCGAGCGTGGTGGCATGTGCCTGTAGCTCCAGCTACTAGGAAAGTTGAGGCTGAAGGATCACCTGAGCCCATTAGGTCGAGGCTACGGTGGCCATGAGCGTGCCACTGCACTCCAGCCTAGGTGACAGAGTGAGATACAACTCAAAAAAACAAAACCTCAGAAGAAACCAATATTTTAAATGCTATCACATTTGCCTTATGTACACCCATGATCAGGACTGTAGGAAAACATATAAAAATCAACATAATTTGATTTGTTGAGGTGGTGGGATTATAGGTGAATTCTCTTCCCTTCTATTTTGATTACCAAAATCACATGCATGGTTCATATCTGAGTCAAAGCCCACCTCACCCCCCTGAAAATAAATTAACGTGCCTTAGCCAGGCGTGGTGGCAAATGCCTGTGGTTCCAGCAACTTGGAAGGCTGAGACAGAAGGATCACCTGAGCCCAGCAGGTTGAGGCTGGAATGGCCGTAAGTGTGTCACTGTACTCCAGCCTGGGCGACAGAGTGAGACTCCAACTCAAAAAATAAAAATAAAAAACTCATGTGCCAATTCCTTTAGTATTAGTAAAGAGGAAAGTAGCCCAATCAGTGAAAATAGTTCTCACTTACTGTTTCTGAATCTTTAAACTTTTCCATTTAATACTCCAAATGGCCGGGCTCGGCTCAGCCTGTAATCCCGCGCCTTTGGGAAGCTGAGATGAGTGGATTGCCTGAGCCCGCGGGTTCAAGACCCGCCTGGGCAGCGAGACCTCATCTCTACAATAAATCAAAAAATCAGCCGGGCGTGGTAGCACCTGCCTGTAATTCCCGCTACTCGGAAGGCTGAGGCGGAAGGATCACCAGAGCCCAGCAGGCGAGGCTGCCGGGAGTGGCCACTGCACTCCAGTCTGGGCGACAGAGTGAGACTCCAACTCAAAAAAAAAAAAAAAATACTCCAAATGATCCTAGGACTACTTTAACTGATGAAGAAATGGGCTCAGAGAGAGAAAGTAACCTATCCAAGTTACATAGTGACAGAACAGGAATTCAAACTTAGCTATGACTTCAAAGTCTATGCTATATCCAATATTGGGGACAGTCTTCCTGATTCCCAAATGTTTAACTTCTGTGCAAAATTCATGATATTTAATCATCATACTGAATTTTCTCTTGCAGGACACAGTTTAATAAATGGTTCATAGGATGTAGAAATAACAGTAAAATTTTAACACAATTAAAATTCTAAATGCAAAATAAAAATGGCCCCTTCTTTATTCTTGAATTTTTTTGGAGTTTATGTGCTTTCAGTGTATAACCTCGAAGTGATAAAGCAGACAAGGCTTCTCTGAACAAACTTTCCTCTAGGAAATTCATTCTTTTTTTTTTGAGTTGGAGTCTCACTCAGTCGCCCAGACTGGAGTGCAGTGACCGCTCCTGGCCACGGCAGCCTCGACCTGCTGGGCTCCAGCGATCCTTCTGCTTCAGCCTTCCAAGTAGCTGGAACTACAGGTGCGCGCTACCATGCCCGGCTAATTTGTATGATTTATTGTAGAGATGAGGTTTCATCATGTTGCCCAGGCGGGTCTCGAACCCTCGGGCTCAGGCAATTCACTCACCTCGGCCTTCCCAAAGCGCGGGATTACAGGCTGAGCCGCCAAGCCCGGCCCCGCCAGGAAATTCAAATGGCACTTCAAGGAAATGTGGATTTCCATGGAATATAGTTTAAACTGACTTCTTAGGCAAAAATAAGTTACACACAAGACACAATGCTTTATTAAAATATCCAATAATCCTCAAATAATTAGCTAAATTGTTAATTTATTTGTGAATTATTGAAGTTCTTAGGCTAGTATTACCTCTACATTAGGAAAGAAACTAGGTAAAATGGAGCTTAAATGAGTCACCCAGGATTACGTAATAAACCTGCAGCAAAACTAGTAACCAAGTTGTGGACTCTGCATTCAGCATAATCAACATTACTGAAGAGAGACTCCCACTTAAAAGTTTTCATACAGAGCAGATGTGAAGTTTTTCAAACTGTTCAAATCCGCACAAAGGCTTCTAAGAACATTTGTAGATATCTACCAAGAAGTTCCAATTTCATTAAATGAGTTTCCACTGGCCACTTATACACTGATCATGTGCTTTAAAAAAAAACAACTGATAAATATGGATAGCTGCCACGGCCTAAGACCCTAAGAAAGGACCTCTCAATAGATCCGAAATTAAAGATTTCAAAACGAGTATGTCTAGTCTGTGTAAGACAACTCTTTTCTGGATCTTTGAACAGTATAAAGTCTAACAATTAAGCACAACTCATAAAGTTGGCGAGTACTATGAACTTTGTTGAAAGAAAAGGGGTAGCAAACGTTTTCATCGGGTATGAAATGTAATTCAGAGCAAGGTACATATATAACATGTAAGGAAGATGGTAAGGTCTAACTAAAACTTCAACTTTGCAATTTTTAGCACCATTTTTAACAACAACGACGTTTTAAGGATTACGATCACGAACGTGGAAGATCCTGTCGGGCACGGAGCAACCGCCACCTGCACTAGTAGGCAGATTTAACCTTAAAAGAAGTCTGCTTCTCATCTTCAAGTCTAAACCAAAAATGTACTTACACCTTAATCTGTCTGGTGTTTGTAAGATTCTGTCTCTTTTTACTCCGAGACAAAAATCTACCCCCAACCTACCTCGCTTACTGTTTGCGGTGTGGGGAGGTGGGGGTGGGGAGGAACTGTTTCTGAAAGACCTTCTGAAAGAATGAGACATCAGTTCAAATGCTGAAACTTGGACAATGTGTATGTTCATTTTGTTTACTTACAAATTCTGGCGAGGTTTTAACTCGTAGAACTGTCAATAACAGGGTGTCCGCTCCGCTCCGCTCCCCGACACCGGGCTACACCCCACGGCCGCCGCCGCCGAATGTCGTCCGGGTCCGCCCACGTGACGCAAACCTCCGCCGGAAGACGCCCGCGGAATGCTGGGACTAGTAGTCCGGGTGTCCGCCTCCTCCCTCCCCCCACCTCCCC